CAAGTTTATGAGTATAGTTAATATGGACGTATTTGAATTATTGTCAACTATTTTTAGATTTGTTAAATTGTAATGATTTTATTATTCAAAGAGTTTTAATAAATTAAAGAAAGATATTGTTTATAAACTATTCGATTTTTATATGATATAAAATTTTAGGTATATCAAAACAAATTATCTAATCAAGATTAAATAATAACAAGAGTTGTCCGAGACACAAATATTTCGACAGTAAGATCACTATATCCAAAATATTATTTGCTTTGGTGCTTATTAAAATTGACAATCAAGTAGAGTAGAAATTGGAAAGAAATATGTATATTTATTAATCTTTACTATCCAATATAATAACCAATTCTGTTTCGACATAAGGAATAACTAGTTTCTAAAAAAAAAAAAGACATATATAATTAATACAATCAGAATTACACCCATAATCCAAGTTAGTTTATGAATTTTTTTAAACTATCTATGAGATACACAAGAAATTAAGACCATCACATTTGCTGAAAGTTATAATAATAATAATAATAATAATAATAATAATAATAATAATAATATCAAAAAATAAATATAAATAAAAATGAAAATAAAAATAAATAAAAAAACTTGATTTTAATTCTTAGCTGATTAAGCAAATGAAAAGAAATAAAGGAAGAATTTCGCTCCTTAAATGGTTCTACCTAATTGATTTTACTCGAATTGGTTTAAAGTGACTTCTAAATATTAAAAGCTTTAAAAAAAAAAAAAGACATTACTTTTTTTTTACATAAAAAAATTACTTTTACTCTTTTGCACTTCCACGCAAAACATAATGATCAATGTTTGAATTATTTAATATATATGTATCTTTAATATGCATAAAAAAAAATATATGCCTTTTTAATTGCCAAAAAGTTCGTTCCACGACGATATAATGCAGTTTAATTTATATTTCAATGTTTTTCATTGATTTTGTATGTACAATAGTGACAACAAAATTATAACTTAATTCATATTACACAAACCTTTACCATCAAGTCAATTCTAATATTTCAACTTTTTTCATTATTTAGTCACATATGTTTCAATCTCATGCATGTATATATAGCTAGAAATCAGTCTGACTTTTTTATAAAAATCTGTGACCGACAAAATCAATAAATATTTTGTATTAATTAATTATATAATTGATTGGTACCAAATATTTATTAATCGTGGAATCCAGAGTGATTTCTAGTAAGATTTCATCTCCCAACAACCACACATGCACCAATTTACTTGGCTAAAACAAGAAGTTACGTACAGGTCATAATTGTCAGCTTATTAGCTCTTTTTAGGGTAGAGGGTGTGAGAGTGCAAACCCACTTTAGCTTTTGAATGATGGGAATTGAAGGAGATTAGTGTCCTTGAAGCATATATATCTAGTTCCGGATATGCATGTAGTATATGATCATGCCATATTATATATGCACACATATGAATATATATTAAAAGTTTAACCTAACACGTACACTTTTTCTCTGGGGACTAGCCATGATGCACATGAAGAATGAAGAAGGTGCCACATGTGAAAGAACAAGAGTATGAGTAGTGTTTGTAAGAGGTGTGGCAGGTTGATGAGATGGTGTTGGTGAGTTGGGAAACACAATGGGACCCTACACACAACCCATACTTGCTATTTCACCACTTCCCTTGTTCAAAGGTCAACCTCAGTGCCTATCTTTTAACCCTACATTGGATGGCTGAACAAAAATATTGGACAAAAGAGAAGTGAGTGGCACGCAGCAAAAGCATCTTTGTCTGCAACTCCTATGTGTCTCTCTGTCTCTCTATGCTTTCATGATTCCTTTCTCATTTGTGGTAACAATTTGAATTATCAAAAACTTACATTGCATGCTACATGATATCATTGGTTTTTCTAGATGCACACGTGTTAGGACAACATTCATATGCCTGCATATATATCAGTGCATGCATGCATCATCATGAAATTACAAAGCAGGGGTCACTTTTAACCAAAGGTTTTTTATATTTTGACTATATATTATTAGTAGAAATGCTCAAAGTCACATACGTACTAGCTAGGATCAGAACATGTATGTACACATACAAATTAATTTTGAGTTCTTGTGTATTATATAGATACTACAATAAAATGTGTTTTTAACGATATTAAAAAAAATATTGTTAAATTATGAATAAATATTATTAATATTTTTTAAGATAAAGTTATTAAAGATTTTTAACAACATTTCATATATTAATAACAATATTTTTAAAAATATTATCAAAGTGATATTCTATAATATTTTAATAATGTTGTTAAATTTTTGTAAATTTTATAAAATAATAATTTGATTGTATTATTGCTTATATTTTATAATTTTTGTTTACTAAGTCCTTTAAAATTTAGAACATTATAAGTTTTTCTTTTTAACAAAAAAAGATATCATAATAGTCATTATAAAATTTATATCACATAGCAAAATTCATTTATCTTAAGTTTCACTATATGAGTATATATATTTTTCATGTATTATTCTTTTACTTGCTGTTAAACTTCAATTTAAAAAAATAATAAATGTAGGAAAAATATATTTTTTTTTATATGCTATTCTTTTACTTGGTGTAAGATTAAATTTTGAAAGCCAATTATAAAGAACAACATTGAGATAAAAAAAATGTTATTCTATCTATAATAATATTTTTTTAAAAAATGTTGCAATAACTTATTAATTTAATCTATAATAACATTTTAATAAATGTAAGTAGATAAATGTTGTTAAAGATGTTAAATTTAGTAGTGAGAACATATTAGAATCACAATAAAATGTATACTCTTTTGTGGCAATATACACATATAATCAAATTTGTTATCATAAGTACAATTAGTATTTGTGTTGGAGAATGAAAATTTGATTTCTAACTTGAATATGGAGTTATGATTAGAATATCATCATATTTTTATAATAACGATCATTCTTGTGTGAAGAAATTATACATTATTATTAAACAAAAAATATATACACACATAAAAATACATATATATATATATATATATATATATATATATATATATATATATTACCATTCCTATTTAGCTCTCTTAATTTTTTTGTGAGAGGACCATTCCTATTTAGCTGAAGTTTAAAATTAATAACAATTATATACCATTATTGGAGGAAAATGTGAGTGGATATGAAAATGCATTTTTATTTTGTTGATTATAAAAAAAATAAAAAATAAAAAATTAAACGTCAAACGGCCTTTGAACAAGAAGTTAGGCAAAGCCATGGCTAGAGAATCTTGTCTATTTATGTTTGCCCTTTCAGTTATGTCAAAAAACAGCGTTTTCAGTCATTTCTTCATTATGTTTGAAAGTAGTCTCATAGGTGGTCGCTTTTATTATTCTCAAATTTCAATTGATATACGTAAGCTGTTTATTTTCCCATAGGATATGTTTTGTTTAAAATAACGGAGACTTTTCTTCCTCTTGCTTTGTCTTTTCAACCAATAATTATGGCTAAAGGTTCTTAGAGATGACTTTAATTTCTGTCACTAAGATAACAACCCATTTTCTGGTGGTGATATGATTTCACAACTACATTTGTTACTGGGATATAACTTAACTCCAGCCCCCTTTTTGAAAATTGTGATCTAGCCACAACTTTGAACATGTTTTTTTTCTTTTCTTTTCTCTAAACTTGAGGTTTGCAACATTTATTTGGATCTTTTCTTCTTCTTGGTTTTTTTTCCTTCTCTTTTTTAAGTAATAGGCTTGCAACATTTATCTTGATTTTTCATAATGATTATATACTTTTTATCTTATTTTATAAAATAAATCATATGTATTCTTTATCAAAGACAATTATATTCAAATCAAATAAAACTATAATAAAATAATAATATATTTTTAAATATTTAACATAATTATATATCTAAAATTTAAATTCAAGATCACTGATTAAGTTAAAATAATCCATATCATGATTAATTAATTTGTGTCTATTAATTTTAAATGAATACATTTTAGGGACACATGACTTGCAATATAATTATTTGATAATTAAACCTTTGTCATTTGAGTTTTGTTTTCCTAAATCGCCAACTTTTATCTAGGTCTGCTCACAGTAATTCAAGTATTAATTATTTGGATGGGTCTTTCTCACTCACAAGTTAAGATAATATTTGTTTGGGTGGGTCTTCCTCACTAAGTTTTTCTTTTCCCCTTTAGGTCTTGAATTTATCAAGTGGTTCATGAATTTTTGAATTGTGGTGGACTAAGTGATCTGCTTTTAGTGGGATTGCGTTTGAGTTGCTTCTTTGTCCCCAAATCTAAGACAATTAAACTTTGGCACTCAAGCTTTTCTTCTCCTTACATTTCTTGTTTAACTAGTGTGAGAATTTCTGTTAGTTCCAACACCCCCTCTCTCTAACTTCAAAAAAAAAAAAAAATCTTACCGTCAAATATATGGAAAGATGACAGAGGGATAAGGTCAGAAACTTGACTTCAATTCTTTGAAAAGATGACAAGGTGATAGGATGATGTTTTAAAATGAAATTACAAAGTACAGCAAATTGGATCCACACAAATTGATTACCACAAAAAAAAGGTGAAAAAAGAGAGGGGCATTTAGTTTTATAACTTCAGTGGTAATCTTCAAATAATGATTTATGGTTACCTTAATTAAGTATTATTATGCACTTTTTTCTTGGTAAAGAAGCATAATTATGCTCTCAAATTCTATAAGAAAAATATCAAATCAGTGACCGCATACAACTGAAATATGCAAGTCATATAGTAATAAGGACAAACATCAATTATATCAGAAAAGAAAAAAAAATGAAAAGCTAAAAATAAAAAGGAAATAATAATATTGATATGGTAAACCGATTTAATAGGTTTTAATCACGTAGTTTGTGGACCATCGCGTATAGGTGTAATTGTCTCAACCAATGATTTCACTAAACATAGTTGCAAGGTTCCAATCTTCTGAGAGACAACTTATTAGGTAGCTAGGTTGGTATATACATGAATATAACTAACTATATATAAAAAGCTGCTGCATGTGTTTGCAGTCTCACCTTCAAAAGCCATTTGAATGTCCTTGCAACATTCTAAAGCAAACTCATGAAAGCAACACTAAGATACTTAGAAGGAATGGCTGGCCCTAGTGGCTTTGGCTCAAATTCAACCGCTGAACAAGTTACTGATGAAAGTTCTCGCTTCCTTCCTCCTGGTCTAACTGCTCTCATCACTGGTAAGTCTCAAGATATAGCTTCTAAAGGTTAGCTAGGGAGTAAAACCAACCATGAAAACCAAGCTTAATTATCACCCTCCACTTCCTCTGATATTATTTTTGATTAAAAATATGTTTGAATACAAACTTGACTACTCTTAAGTTCTAAGAGTTTCTCTATCAAAAAAATGTTCTTTATTCAAAAGAGAAGTTCTTAAAAACTTATCTAAACCTGAACTCAAACAGACTCCGAAATTGTCATCTACATATTACTACTAACCAAGGTTGTCCTTTTTCTATTTTAGTTTTTCACTAATTTCTTTTTTTAGTGAATGTGTTTCTCTTGAAAGGGATTCATGAGTATGCATATATATGGCTGTGCTGCTAGGTTTTGGTGATTCTTGAAGCACCATATATATATATTGTTCACACTTTCCTATTTTATATATTCATTTCAACTTAATTAATTCTTAGTTCTCCCTATTTTTGTCTTTTTCAAAGAGAGTAACACAGATTTTAATTTAATCTTCATCCAAAATTTTATAGCAATTGTACGGTGGTTAATTAATTTCCTTATGATTGATTTTTGCTTTTTGGCATTGAGGAAGGTGAGGGATTAAGTTTCAAACCTTCACATCACATGAACATTCATATACACTACATACTCCATAAACTCATAATCTAGATCATATCTCCTTTTTCACATGCAAAAAAGATACCCTCGTTTTATAATTTACCCTCATCTAAGAATGACAAAATCTTAACTCTTTATATTATATTCGTCAACTAGAGCACGTGATGTTTAATGATATTGAATTTATAATTGAAGGAGCGAGTTCAGGTATTGGAGCTGAAACGGCTAGGGTGCTAGCAAAGAGAGGAGTGAGAGTTGTGATTGCGGCGAGGGACTTGAAGAAGGCCAGAGAAGTGAAAAAGAACATACAAAAGGAAAATCCAAACGCTGAGATTGTTCTGTTGGAGATTGATCTTAGCTCTTTTGGTTCTGTACAGAGATTTTGCTCCGAGTTCTTAGCTTTAGAACTTCCCCTTAACATTCTCATGTAAGTTTTATCGATCATCATGTTGTTCCACCTTTTCATTTTATAGTCATCATGGTTATCATTGTGAAACAAAAGAACTAGAACAAAGCCATTCATATTTTACATGGTATATTGACTAATATATAGAATAAATTAATTTTACAGAAACAATGCAGGGATATTTTCTCAAAACTTGGAGTTCTCTGAAGATAAAATTGAGATGACATTTGCTACAAATTACTTGGGTACGTACTTTTCTGATTCTTGCTCTTTTCTTAGTGTTTACAATAATGTTGAAATCACTGTTAAATCTTTGAATGTGGATGCTGCTCGTTTTCTGAGTTCCTTAATATAAGACACAGTCACACAAACTATGAAAAACATTTAATATTAGAAGACGGTGTTGATTCAGAAGGATAAAACAATAAAATATTCCAAAATAATTTTAAATTGTCGTCACTATTTCATTATTATTAAGCTATCGTGTTACTCATATAATCCACCATCTTAAAATTGTATAGGTTGGTTTTATTTTTGTTTTAACATAAAAAAGTTCAAGTGAGGTAACCTAAACTTGGTTAAAATATTGAACGAGGTGCTTTTCACTGTAATCTGCACCAGAGACAGATCCTTGTCATTGTTTTTACTTTAACATTCTTCTTTTAATTGCAGATAAAAAGTTTGCATCATCACATATAAAAGAAGTTGGTTCGTTTAAGGTCCCCCACCAAAAACTTAAAATATACAATCGTCAATACTTTTAGGCTCCGTTAGGGTCCACGACCATAACATGGATAAAGGTCATACAGCACTTTAGGGCCTCATTTTGGTCCACAAACACTGAGCACTAGGCATGCGTTATTCTTTATGGGCTCAACGTCCAAAGCCCCTAGTGGCCCGTTTCTAAAGTGCAATGCTTTTCATTTTGGAATCAAATTGACTGTTTCCATTTTTTCCTTCCATTGTATATCTATAAATTAATGAAAATTTCATTTTTTTGGTAGGTATTTAACTAAAAATATTGTTTTACTGTTTTAAAAAAATAAAATTACTATTTTTTTTTAGTATAGAACACAGGTATCTCCATTGGGAAACAATCAAGAATTTATCACTGGAACTAGTTATTTATTTATTTTTTTGTGCTGAGAGAAGAAAGGAGGTTTAATGATTTGAATCTGTTACTTTTCTTGACTTCTTATTGGTAGAAATTACAAAAACGAAAACAAAGTTTTTTTTTTTGAAAAAGGATTTGAACGTAAGATCACATCCATACCATTCAACTCTTACAACCATTCTTATCCTTGAGAAATTGTTGCCGTAATTATAATTCTAACTAATTAGTAAAATTGAACGAAATAATTAAGATATTTAAAAATAAAGAAATCATTAGGATCGATTTAGTGGTGGTAGAGTTGAGATAATATACATTAGAACTTTGATGTGGTTATTGTAATTGCAATGAATAAAAAAATAAAGAGTAGTTTATTAAATTTTAATGTTTTTTCTTTCCTATTGCAGGTCATTTCTTGTTAACAGAAATCTTATTAGACAAAATGATAGAGACGGCAGAGAAGACAGGTATTCAAGGAAGGATAATAAATGTTTCTTCTGTGATTCATAGCTGGGTGAAGAAAGATGGTTTTCGTTTCAACGACATACTCAGTGGAAAAAGGTACAACTTTCTTGTTCTCTGCAAAATTACAACGATTATGATTGCCTTACGATTTGGATACACCATTGTATTCCTCTCTGATATCCATCGCAGATACAATGGCACACGCGCTTATGCTCAGTCAAAATTGGCAAATATTTTGCATGCGAAGGAAATAGCCAAGCAACTCAAGGTTAGAATGAGAAACAACCCAAAACTTTATTGCACTTATTATCTCTTGTTAAAGGCGATTATCATGTTTTTGTATGACCCACTTAAAAATTCACAAAATTGTAATGTAATTACAGGCAAGAAATGCAAGAGTAACTATAAATGCAGTACATCCAGGCATTGTGAAGACAGGAATTATTAGAGCTCATAAGGGCTTAATAACGGGTAGGTAAAATGCCAAATTGCCAATATCATTTAGTCAAAGATTCCATCTACTAAGAATTCGTAAAATTTCCACGCAGATTCCTTATTTTTTATCGCATCAAAGTTACTCAAAACGACATCACAGGTGTGTAAACAAACGCGTTAGGTTCAATACACTTTATTATGGATATCAAATCAAATAACGTGATTTGTAGAATTGTAAACTAGTAATGAAATATTTTCCATTACGAAGGGTATAATTATGTCAATGCGTGTCCGCAGGGAGCATCAACTACGTGCTATGTTGCTCTGAGCCCAAAAACACGAGGGATCAGTGGAAAATACTTTGCTGACTGCAATGAGAGTCACTGCTCAAGACTGGCAAAAGACGAATCGGAAGCACAAAAGCTATGGAACAACACCCATGCATTGCTTCAGAAACGACTACGTCAAGCAACAATCTGAAGCATTTCTTCTCCATTTCAAGACTCCGTGTATAATTAGGTTATTCTTTAACGTTAAGCTGCAGGCTCAACTCAAGATTTGAGTCTTAAAAGGCACCTAAAACGACATCATAATCGTGGGGCTTTACTATTAGTAACCCCATTTCCTGTCCTGTGTAACTCCAATTTTGATAATATGTTTAAATAAAAGAGCAATAAAACATAAAATCTCCAAGAATTAACAAAGCGATAGTTGATCTGCTCTATAAAGCCAATGAAAGCCAAGACAGTAATCAGTAACTGTCTAACTCTCAACTTAGGCTGATCCACCATTGGAGAATTATTAAAACTAATTATGTGAAATTTTTACTTAAATAATATTTTTTTTTAAAAAAAATTACAAAAGTATCAACTGTGCAAGTTTATTTACCAATGTAGAACTGTTTACTGTTCATGCTCAGAATTCGGTTCCCTTCAGTTCCCGGGGAACCGAATTCTGAGCTTCAAAATCTTATTTTTTTTTGTTTTTTCAACTCAGAATTCGGTTTCCGGGGAACCGAATTCTGAGTTACTTTAAATTTTTTTTTTTCGTGTTTCTGGCCCATTTTGGGCAAATTTTGGAAGTGGAACGGGCCGTTCTGCTTAAAGACACACAGGCCTTTTTTTTTAAATTAAAATGGGCCCAGAACGGCCCGTTCCAGAGGCAAAATTTTAACATGTTTTTGAATCTGGAACGTCCATGGAACGGCCCGTTCCGGAGGACGTTTTCAGGAAGTAAACCTTGGTTTGGAACGGGCCGTTCTGGTTTTGGAACGGCCCGTTCTGAGCAAACAGTAAAAAAAGATTAAATTTTTTATTTTTTATTTAAAAATAATAATAATAAAGTTAACAAAAATTATAATAATATCAATTAATCAGAATTCAATTTGATAGTGAAATGTGATAATTTGACCTTAATTTTTTAAATTTAATTTATAACAAAATATATTATTTTAATAAAATTGATTGAATAGTTAAAATTTTATCCGATAATTATATTGTTGGAGAGAATATATTCCCTATAGTTCAGGGATAATTGTACGTTTTAAGCGCAAGATATTATCTTAAGTGATTGTCTAAATATATTATTTTAATAAAATTGATTGAATAGTTAAAATTTTATTCGATAATTATATTGTTGGAGAGAATATATTCCTTATAGTTCAGGGATAATTGTACGTTTTAAGCGCAAGATATTATCTTAAGTGATTGTTTAAATATATTATTTTAATAAAATTGATTGAATAGTTAAAATTTTATCCGATATTTATATTGTCGAAGAGAATATATTCCCTATAGTTGAGGGATAATTGTAGGTTTTAAACGCAAGATATTATCTTAAGTGATTGTTTAAATATATTATTTTAATAAAATTGATTGAATAGTTAAAATTTTATCCGATAATTATAGTCGGAGAGAATATATTCCCTATAGTTCAGGGATAATTGTACGTTTTAAACGCAAGATATTATCTTAAGTGATTGTCTAAATATATTATTATCATGAATCCTGATTAATTGATATTATTATAATTTTTATGTTAATTTTATTATTTTTATTTTAAAAAAAATAAAAAATTTAATCTTCTTTTTACTTTTTGCCCAGAACGGGCCGTTCCAAAACCAGAACGGCCCGTTCCAAACCAAGGTCTACTTCCTGAAAACGTCCTCCGGAACGGGCCGTTGCATGGCCGTTCCAGATTCAAAAACATGTTAAAATTTTTACTCTGGAACGGGCCGTTCTGGGCCCGTTTTAATTTAAAAAAAAGGCCTCTGTGTCTTTAAGCAAAACGTCCCGTTCTGCTTCCGGAACGGGCCGTTCCACTTCCAAAATTTGCCCAAAATGGGCCAGAAACACGAAAAAAAAAAAAATTTAAAGTAACTCAGAATTCGGTTCCCCGGGAACCGAATTCTGAGTTGAAAAAACAAAAAAAATAAGATTTTGAAGCTCAGAATTCGGTTCCCCGGGAACCGAATTCTGAGCATGAACAGTAAACAGTTCTAAGTTGGTAAATAAACCTGCACAGTTGATATTTTTGTAATTTTTTTTAAAAAAAATATTATTTAAGTAAAAATTTCCTAATTATGTAAATGGGGTTGTTCTGAAACTATTTACGTCTTTTAGACAGTGTCGCTATGAGTCATATATAGCGACACTAATGCCACGTGTATTTTTTCTTTTTTTTAGAAGCTATGAAAGTCACGGTATAAAAGTCGCCACAGCCGGTAGCGCTTCAACTAAAGTCGTTATAACTACTAACGACACACAATGACTTCGGTTGAGAATTTTAAAAAAAAAAATTTAATAAAGTTGTTACAAACTATAATGACGCCAATTAATTATTTTTTAATAAAATAATTTATTTAAAATTTTAGTATATAATATTTTTTTTTAAAAATTAATTAATTTAATTATTTTTTAATAACATATAAATTTTTTTATAAATAAATGCAGTCGCTATAATATGTAACGATACCAATTATTTATTATTTTTTAAAATTAGTTTATTTAAATTTTTAACATATAACATTTTTATGTTAAAAAAAATAAGATGGCCGGCACAAAAGCAACAATATAGGAATCATAGAAGCTCAAGCCCTCAACTCGAATAATTTTTAAAACTATCATATATTGTTAAAAAATAAAGAAAAAATAAATTTATCTTTTAATTGAATTATTTAATGTAAGAAATATAATTATTAATATATATATATATATA